TTCATCCTGTGCAGTATATTACATAAAGGTAAGTTCCAAAGTCTTTATATGGTCAATGGTCATGAGCTAAATGAAACAATTATGTTTGCCAGAAAAGCAACGTTTGGATGTGCAAATATATATCGTTGCTATAAAACATTTTGCTTGAACTTGTTTTTTAAGCATATAAATGAATGAACTATTGAACATACTTAATTTGAATTTAACTATGAACCTTTGCTGTAAGATGTTGCAGCATTATGAAATTCGTAGATAGCTTTTTTTTTTTTTTTTTTCATAAATAACTTTTTTTATGATTTTAATTAAATCAAATAGTTGAGGAGTCAAACTTCTATGTCTAACTGTGTGAGTGTGTGTAAATGTTCTTCACATGATTGTGTCTTCCTTTCTGAAACGCTACATGCCATTCTGTAGCTATGTCCATACCATAATTTAGGAAACATTTACTTGATCGTTTGTATGCTAAGAAATTACCAAAAAAAGTTCTTCATCTCAGTGAGTTCATATCATAATTATGGTTCATGGATTTGTAAATGTAAGAATCCAGCAAAAGGTCCAAACCTTTCCCATGTCACCAAAAATAACAACTCTTTGTAACGAATTTTGACCAGGATAAGGCGGGGCTCTGAACTTATATGTTGAGCTCCAAATATATGAGCCATTGGTTAATCTATGTCCCAATTTGTATGTATACCTACAGTGAAGAGTAAAAAAGATATTAGCAGTCAGAAGTCTGAATAGCCACCCTCTCAAAAGGCTATTGTTATATTGTAATTTCTTTTTGATATTTCAATATAGTTTTTGGGTTGCTTTCTTATAATTGGGATCCTAACAGCGTAACGTTCATATGCATATCAACGGTATAAATAATCTTAAATATCCTAATACATTTGGAGCTGTTTAACGGGATGATCTACATATAGCTATGAACAAAAATTTGGGATTCATATAGCTTACTCATTGTTGGGCCACAATTCCTTGAGAAAACTGGTGTGTATAAATCCAGGGTCCCGCCATCCCACTGTCCTTGCAGGTGCACCTAAAAAGATAATCTATGAGATGAAATACCTTTAAAAAACATGAGATTAGAAAATAATACGACAATAGGAATTGAGCAGCAGCTTCTAAACTACTGTTTGGCAGGGAAATGTAGCATATCTCTTATAAATAGCTGTAGCAGATCTATATTTAAGGAATTTACATACCACACATGCTGTTACGATCAAAAGTCAGTGTGCCCGCTGGGGATCGCATAAGGTCTTTTCCATTTTGGCTCCACTCAACCAAAGGTTCAGCCTCATCAATTCCGTATCCACTTGTCCATGTTACAGTCATCTGAGTATCAATGGTTAAACCATATCATCTTCATATAGATTTAACTAACAAATCAAAAGCATGAGCGATTATCACAAACCTCAAGAGCTGGTAAACTAAGGGTAACTAATGCTTGGTTGTGTTGAAAATTTATCTATTCACTAAAAATAACCTAGAAAACCAACCTAGGAAAACCAGTTATGTGAACTCAATTGCTAGCTTATACTTACTTCATTCCAATCTTTTCCTTGTGCCAAGCGTGGGTAAAGTGGTGCATCAGGATTTGCAAAAGTTACTCGGTTTGATATTGCCACCACCTTCGGCTAAATATGAAAAGGGAATGAATAAGATAAAATGTATGCAAACAAACTCACCAAAACGTTTTCCAATGTTAAATTCAATTATGAATATTTATAAAGGAGAAAGCAAGTGAAATTAGCTAACACAGATGATTGTATGTTGATATGATAACATTGTTCGGTGCATGAGACAAACTGTCGGGTATATGCACACTGATACGAGAGAGACCAGACAGACTAACATAAAACAGTGAGACACAAGTTCATATGAGAATTACATCACATCTGCAGGCTGTGCACACCTTGCCTTGAATCAACCAACAACATCAAACTAGGTTCTGTATTCAAAGTTTAACTAACCATCAATAGCAGAATAATGAAAAAGTTAAACTAAATCAACTTGATAGGAAGGTTGATTCTAGAAGATACTAGAATATGCTATGGCCAACTTAAATAATTTTAAATACTAACCCTAGATGTCCATACCCCATAAACATCTATTATCACAATGATATGATGGGTATTATTCATTTGGGAGGCTCAATCCAAGGAGATGGGAAAAGGCAAGAATACAAATCCCAGAAGTAAAAAGGACATAATAGTTGGGTCCTCACTGATAATGGCAAGTATTATTCACTGTAGGTTCTGGCTTGTGAGCTTACATAATCCAGAAAGCAATTATTCACTTCTTGATATAAAAAACATTTGCATGATAGTGCAGGAGTTCAGAACACAATCCTAAAAGCAGTGAAGCAGAAAATGATGGATAAGATCAAACAACACAGGAATGTTTTTTAAAAGAAAAACTGTTGTTGGTATCAAAATTATTGTCCATAGATATTTTGAATCGATCAAGTGAAGAAAACCAAAAAAAGAACAGCATACTTTCGCTAAACCACCAGAAAATAATGCGAACGAGAAGTCTGCTCTCTGGTTTATCAGCTGAAGTTTCAAAAGCCCTCGTCCAGTAGTTTTGTACTTGGGATTTGTGTAATTGGCATAGAGAAACTGCAATAAACTTCATATAATTAGTTGGCTAATGAACTCTCTACGCTGCAGAGAGAGGCTAAATATAGACGAAATTCATGAAACAACTTAAAAATCAAGTGGAATGAACCTTGATAGGTGCAGAACACAATAATGGTGGATATACTCTTGGATTCTCCATAGGGCAGGAAGAAGAACTGAAATAGAATAACAAAAATTTGCATTCAATCAATGAAACAATCATACTAGCATGAAATAAACACAAAAATGCTTTAAAGAAACTCGAAATTGAAACCAATGCAGATAACCTGAAATTGGCTGGAGAAAATACTCCAATCCAATCATCAGAGGACGGGTTTGGAGAACTATACTTCAATGTTACCCATTCTGTATTCTCGCCCTGCAACAGAAAACAGACTTTCTCAATCAAAAACAAGTTCTAAAACAAATACATAATAGCTTCCAAGATTGGCGTTTCTATAGAGTTAAAAACACGATCACCACTGAATTAGACCAAAACATAGGGCATTGAAGCTTGCCTTCAATCCAAGAACAGATGGAGAGGCTTTAACATCAGCATTTTCATTAAGAGCGAATGTAGATTTATGAATGGCAATTTTCGAGAAAGGATGGCTTCCATGTGATTTGACTTGATGCAGTGCCGCTAGAATCCATAATATTCCCAGGCAGAGAAATTCCAGGGATCTCATCACAACCGATATCTGAACTGAACTGAACTGAACTGAACCAAAACACCAGAAATCAAATCGGTAAGAAGATTTTAGCAAACTCCTTACCAAAAATGACGATATAAATTGTGCAAATCAATGACAGTAAGTGGAAAACAGATCAACGTGACCGGAAAAAAGTCAGTAAAAACTGCAAGTAAACCTCATCCTTGCAAAGCAGTTCAAATCGGTACAAAAAAACAATCACCTCCACTTGAAACCAAGCTCTCGAGCACTTAGCTAATCACTCAAGAAGCGAACTCAAAAATCATGCTCCATAACGAAATTAGATATGGTTTAAGAAAACTGATCAATAATTACCTGCAGAAGAACGAAGCTGAAAAGGATCGGAGTTCGAATTTTGACAAAACTTTGGAGGTGCTAGAACCTGTCCATTGTCGACGACAGAGCGGCTCCTTCAAATTCGAATTCAGTTGGAGCGGATGATGAGAAACAGCCATTAGTGAAGAGCTTTAAATAATCGAAAGGTGTGAGGAATCTTGCAAGAAGATTCCGGTTATCTCCTGTTCTTACACTATAATTGCGAGACTTCAGGTCGCCGGAGAGTTGACGCCGTCGGTCAAACTTGTCCCATACCATAATCCACCGTTTTACCATTTACGTGCAAATTAAGATAATTAAATTGTAATAATTTTTTCTTTAAAAAAAGTTAATAACTGTTTCTAAAAATAAAAAAGGTTAAATTTTTAATAAATAAATACAAATTTGAATTTTTTATTTAGTGTTATTACCAATTCCCACTATATTCGTTCTAGTTTCTTATATTGCAAATAAAAATAATTAACTTGTATAATAAATTTAAAAATATTCTAAAATTGAATATTTTAAATTTTATTTTATTTAAATTTACATCTTTTAAATATTTAATTTTAGTTCATATACTTCTCGTAACTCTTAAAATTAATTAAATAGATAATTTTGTTTTAAAAAAGTTAATGATAAATTTAAAATATAAATATTTAATATTTAATATTTTTAATGTTAAAATGACCACGGCTGTCATCATCACGCGTGACAAACAAGATTTAGAAAAAATGATTGTTGTTTTAATGAATACATTCCTTTTAAGAAAAGCTATTGCAAAAGTTTTTATTTTATTTTCCCTTTTTAAATAATTCAAATATTAAATTTTTAATTTTGTCTATATATATATATATAAAGGAAAGATAAATAGACGAAAAAATTGTCAATAGTGTTCCTCGACAACAGTGACAACCGAGATTGAAGGAAAACATATGAAAAAGGTCGAGAGAGTAGGTCGGGGAGGTAGGTCGACAATGTGGGGGAAAGAATGGAGACTATACATACATTCCAAACCTAACGGGTGAACCACATACACGAGTCAAGCATACAACTCGAACTTAGGTATCAGATTTTTGTTATCACGTGTTGTGCCACGTTGGATAAGTTGCGTAGGTGTAACATAATTTACCTTAAATTGCAATCACGAGCAGATTTCATCGAGTCACTCGTGGACACGAGCCTAGCTAACCTATTTTTGACTTTTTTTTTTTAATTATTTGTTTTATTTATTTAAACTACATTATTTATAATAAATAAAATAAAATTATGGAAAAGAAGAAGAAATTATAAATAAAAATATGAAGGGCAAACCACAATTTTCGCGCATCAACCAAACCACCACTCCCAAACGAATCCAACGGTTCAGATTCAGTTTTGTTCTTGCCCATTCCCTCTTGCTTTCTATATTCGCTTATTCTTCTTTCGTTTTCCTCTGGTTGTCTCTGTCTTTTTCGCATTTCTGCTCCATTTTTGCAGCTTTCTGAAACCATGTCTTCGTCCGAGAAGGAGAGAGAGACACAGGTCTACTTGGCCAAGCTCGCCGAGCAGGCCGAGCGCTATGACGGTATGGTCGCTATTCGCTTTTCTACTTCTGCTGCATTGTTTTTCTAATTTGTTCTGTGTTCTTTCCGATTTTTTATTCTGTTTGTTTTTCCGTGTTTTGTTGTGTTCTTTTTTTCTTTTGAGGTGCGATTTGATGAATATGTAGGGAATGATCTGTTGTTTTGTTCTGAATTGTGATTTGTGTTCGGAAATGTGGATGGAAAATTGTTGATGTTGGTTTCTAGGTTCTTTGTTTCCTGTGAGATTATCTTAGCGTTCGGCATTGCTTCTGATACCGAATTTTTGTTGTTGAAATGATAATTGATTTCGACCTCTTGCTTCGCTTTTGTGTTTGAGAAAAGTTATCAATTATTGGATCTTCTGCATGATCGCTGTGTTATATGCTCAATATTTATCTGATGCCTCGTTGATTTCTTTGAGTAATTTGAGGATGTTTCATATCTGTGAGGTGGAATTTTTTTCTTTATGGAGTTGATTCATTCATCCAATGATGCAGAAATGGTTGAGTGTATGAAGAATATTGCAAAGCTTGATCTCGAACTAACTGTGGAGGAGAGGAACCTTCTCTCTGTCGGGTACAAAAATGTCATAGGTGCACGACGAGCCTCTTGGCGCATCATGTCTTCAATTGAGCAGAAAGAGGAGTCCAAGGGAAATGAAGGCATTGTAAAATTGATAAAGGGTTACCGCCAGAAAGTAGAGGAGGAACTTTCAAAGATTTGTGGTGATATTCTCTCTATCATAGACAAGCATCTAATCCCCCATTCGTCCTCTGCAGAAGCCACGGTCTTCTACTATAAGATGTGAGTTGTTTTGTTACTATTAATTTCAACTTTGATGCTCAGCATATTTTTCCTCATTGGGCGAGTAATTTATATGTTTGGAACCTAGAAAGAAACAAAAAATTGGCTTGTTCCGAATCCAAATGATACAGATTTAATACTAATGGATTTCTGTTTTCCTGTATTTCTTTTTGGGATATCAGTGGCTTTTGATCATACCCTGTACACCACGAGGAGACTTTACACACCCTAATGTTGGGGATATATGTTTTTATTCATTTTTAAAATATGTGAGATAGGCCATAGATAGGTTGATGGTGAATACTGCTTGATGTTTCTATTATCTTGTCCATCCTTTTCTGTAATAGTATATGTAATGTGTACAAATATGATCATAATGTGTTTTTTTAACAAATATTAGTATGCTGTTTGTAGTTACATATCATAGCATGCATGATTTCAGGAAAGGTGACTACTTTCGCTATCTTGCTGAGTTCAAGACAGATCAAGATAGAAAAGAAGCTGCTGATCAGTCATTGAAGGGATATGAGGCATTTATTTTCTCTATAACATTCAAGCTCACATTAGAAATACAAAACAATAACTGTTTGCTTTTTCTAGATTCAAACATTGCCTCCTCTGCAATTATTTGAGGTGCCCTATTGCCATTTTTGTAACAGGCTGCCTCAAGCACTGCAAATACTGAACTCCCATCAACCCATCCCATCCGGCTTGGCCTTGCTCTCAATTTTTCTGTCTTCTACTATGAGATTATGAATTCTCCTGAGAGGTATTATTAAGCCTAGTTTTCAGTTACCGTATTAAGATTGAAAACCTTTACCCTCGTAATGTAATGAGATTCTTCTTGCAGAGCTTGCCATTTAGCTAAACAAGCTTTTGATGAGGCAATTGCAGAGTTGGATACCTTGAGTGAGGAATCATACAAGGACAGCACTCTAATCATGCAACTGTTGAGAGACAACCTCACCCTCTGGACCTCAGATTTGCCTGAAGACGGCGGTATATGTCATAATTGATTCTAGAGTAATATCTTATTGTTTGTCCATATATATAGCATATTGTTCAGGATCTGCCATCCACAGTTTTTCATTGATTCTCATATAACACTTAAATGCTGAATTTAACCATTATTGGTTGGCCTAGTCGTTAACAACCAGAGAATGGGTCAAGAGAATGGGTCAAGCGGTCAATCGACCTAGAATTTAAGATCAATTATCTTGGCAACTAATAGGGTTAGATGATTATCTCATGAGAATAGTCAAGGTGCAAAAAAATCTACCCATCACGGATATTGAAAAAACATGTAGTTATCTTGGCAACTAAATATAGTAGGGTTAGATGATTATCTCATGAGAATAGTCAAGGTGCACGTAATCTACCCGGGTCACTTGCATGGGCATTGGAAAAAAATGCTGCATTTGAGAATTTCTCGTACTGCCTCTATCTGATAAAAATTTCATCTGTTGTTGCACATCTAATTTATGAACGACATCAGGTGAAGAGAACGTCAAAGCTGAGGATTCCAAGCCTGTTGAACCTGAGGTAAGTCATTGAAGTCCTTTCCTGTTTCAATCTTGTAAAATTCAGTTTCTACTTTCTATTACTCTTGATGACTTGAAACTGATTCATTACTTAGCCCCAGCAAGCGAAATGAGAGAGCCTCTCTACACATCATCTAGAGATCGGATTTCTTTCCAAAGAGAATTTAAAGAATAGCTCAACAGTGTGGGATTGGACTGCACTATCAGATTTCTTGCGGCGTTTTTCTATTCATTTGGTCCACAACTGAAGCTGGAGTTTTTTTTTTTTTAATTTTGCCAAGCTTTTGTTTCAAGTTCAAATTCAAATTCACCTCTTCTTTCATGTTGTTGATTCGTAAAACTAAGTGGATAATTGAATCACAACTATCATAGCTTTATCTCTATTATTGTAATATGATAGTATCGCATACTTATGATCTATTAGACATTATCAAGCTAATTAGACATGAAATTAAAAGTTTAAAACCTATTACGCAGCATTAAAAGTTTTAAGAATAAAGATAGACCTTAATGGAAGGGCCTAATTGAAATTGCTTAATTTTTTAGGGGTGAAATTGAAATTTTACGAAAATTAAGGACTAAAAAAGACTTTAAATCATAATTTAGTATCCTTTGAAATATTTAGCCCTACGATCTTTTGTCTAGTTCAAAATTCAAAAAAAGTAACCCGAAAGATGGTGACATTCTCCCGTACTTAAACTAGTAATTGATAGACTAACTTCGTGGCACAATCCAAGAGACAATTTGGCCTGCAATCTGTAGCTTAAATGATTTCATCCGTAACTAAAGAAAATTACCATTTACACCAAAAACTACTAGAACTAATAGCACTAGGCACAGTTCCTACCCTGTTACCAAGTGAAAAAACGAAAACTATTGTGTGCATTTTGTCCTGCAAGACACAGCCCATTCAGAAAAGGAAACTCAGCACTACATATCGATGTCGAAAGGTCGAAAACTGCTGACCAAGGCATAATCATTAATTCTAGTTGGCCATATTATTCACCAAAATCAAAACTACTGAACTAAGTTTTGCTTTTCTAATTTTCTCAGAAGACATCAAACAAATATATTCGAATCTAAAATGGGGGGAAAAAAGGCATAATCCTAACATTCATCCCGCCAAGATTAAAATTCGTTGACTAATAATGTACAAATATAGGACGAACATCTCTTTATGAAGAGAAACTTTGGCAGCCTTGGTATACCAATTAGCGCAGCTCAGATTTTCCAAGTAGGAATGTACCCCTGCAAAATATCAAACTAAATTTGATCAACTTTAAAATTCCCGTAAAGTGCACCATTCTTAAGCTTTTAGTTAAGAAGATGATGATTATGTTTGGATTATTTTGTTTGCGTATATTGTTTCTGCTGTAGCAGTTACCTATGCAACATAATGGGTGCCGAAGTCAAGATTGAACAGCATATCCCTGCGATTCTCTGTTCCCATTCGAATTTTGAAACTTTTGGCCTGGTAATCCACCCGATCATTACTATCGTAGTCCATCTCTCGGATACATCGCCTCCTCACCTTTTTCAGCATTTGTTTTGAAGGTGCAAATCCAGCAGTAACCTTCCAAGAATGTTTTGTGATGTAATTAGCACCATCATGAAAGGACACACAAATATACAAATATATACAAGTTTATTAAAACAACGCTTTTACCATATCATCAATTACAGAGAGAGCAGATTTGGGATCTCGGTTAATGAGATGAGCATCTACAAGCAATGAATAAGATGTTGCATTTGGTTTGACGCCCAAACCTACTAAATGTTCAAACACCTTTGCAGCTTCAAATGTCTACAAAGTGGTCATAGTAAGTCAGCAAAAATTTCAGTTTGTATGGTTAAAATAAGTGTCATATCCATAAGAACATGTAGAGAATACGTAATGCTTCACTATGCATACAGTACCCCTTGCACCAATATCATAGAAATCGAACCCATAAACAATGCTTGTTAATCTTTTTTTCATCCATCAAACATTGGTCCCGTCCATGGAATCTCAGCAGTTAATTGTACATGTGTCTATGTGCGTGAATAAGGGAGGGGTATAAAAGGTTAAAGACTGACCTTCTTTAGCTTTCCAAATGCGTACATCAGAGCGTTGTATGAATGGATATCAGGGGTCAAACCAAAACTGGAACTAATTGCTTCAAATGTTTGGTAAGCACGATCGAGGTCCCATATATTTGCACAGCCTAAAATCACACAATTCAATGCAGCAACAGACTTGTAAGGAGGATCTGCACGGCTCAAGTTTTCCAGTTGAAAATAAACCTAACAAAAGGAAAGAATATTAGAATGGTAACTCTGATGAATTAAAGGAAATAAAACCACTCGGCTACCATGAAGTTCTAAATTTAGTTAATGAATATCACATTTCAAGAAAGGAAGCATGCTAGGTATATAGTAATGAAACATCACATAAACCTTTTAAGTGCATGTCATGTGAGCGAGACAATTGCACTACATGTACCTTTGGTTGGCTTTTATCGTAGCTATCATAGTTAATATTCTTCTTGATCTCCCACCACATAATTTATTATCGATAAGAGCCCATACATGGCACTGTCAAAGAAAGCTACTGCAATTTTTAATCTTTCAACTCTTAAAAGTGTATTTTCCACCTATCCTCCACCTCTCCATATTGGTACTGAAAGTTCATTGTTCAAGTTAGACTGCTGAAGTGAAACAATATGAATGTGTTGTTTGAGCAGTAATTTAAGATTAAATTTTACTGAAACACTTCATGTCCTGGTCATATATAAGAACTTGGCAGAAAGCATCAATCATTTCTTGTCATTTGAATAATGTAAAAACAATGCTGGACCAATAAAAAAAAAATGCATGTACCATATTAGATTTTATACTACATTACTTATAAACAGAAAATGGAAATTGCAAATCTGTAATTTTTACTGGTAAAAGGTCATACCGTGTCCAGGGTCTCAAAACCCTTCTTAGAGCATGCCACAACTAATGGATATAAAGAAGTGAATGGGGAAAACATTTCTTCAGCAGCTCCATCATCAGAAGTCCTATAAGCCTCTTCAAACTCATGTAGGGTAGTAAAGGCCCTCTGCAGATTCCCAAATGATGCAAGAGCATAAATCTTTCCAAGGTAAGATTCGGGATTTGGGACCTTCTTTTGTCGCAATGAGCGCTTTAGAATGGCCCAAGCTGCATCTAAAAGAGAAGAGCTGTAGGTTCTACCTGCAGTTCCAAGAGCAGATACAACTATTCCTTCATCCACTGAAAGATGAACTGGAGGCCTCGCATTTTCACCCCGAGCAATCCATCTGGCCATAAATTCTAGAGCATAATAAGCTAGTTTACTATTATCCTCTTGCATTGCTACTTCAGCAATATAATTACACAAGTTCCATGTTGGGCAAAGAGCTTTATTCTGAACAGTTGCCTGTTACACCATCAAGAAAAGTAATGAAGCAATAACCAAAAAACTATTTTCTTAGCCATTAATCGAACTTGTTTATTACCTTGCACCTATCAATTACGGACACCAATGTGTCCAGCCTGCCTTTTTTCACACAGCTCCGCACACATTCAGTGAACACTTTCAACGACAACATATGACCTGATTTTAAGGTCAAATCAATATATTTCAAGGCAGCATCAATCTGATCCGTTGACAACAGCATTCCAATTACCAAATCATATGATTCATCATCCGGCATTGACTCTCCTCCTGTCTGCAACATACTGATAACGAAAAAGAAAATAACGTTTAAAGGCTACCATATTCAAACTGAACTATGAGAACTTGTGACAACAATGTTCTAGTTTTGATAAAGGCCGCTATTCTTGTAGATAACATATGCTTATTTATTTTTACAATACATGGAGGGGGGGATTTGAATCTCTTTAACCTTTTGATCGATACATGCCCTATAGCAGTTGAACTATGCTCATGTTAGAACATATGCTTAATTGAATCGACTGTTATAAAAGAGTGCATTTGATAGTAAATCAGGCAAAGTGCAGTGCAAATCTAAGGACAAGCTTTCATACAAAAAGAAATGACAATGAAGAGTTTCACAAGTTTATACTCGGTCCAACTAAATTCATGTTTCTGCCTGGTAGTTTGCTATCCTGCAAGTTAATCTCCAATAACAGGATGAGATCAAGATCAATAACTAAACGTATAGGGTAATGTTCCCTGAAAGTTGAAATCTTATGCAGATATTCACACGAAACAACCATTATTGTCACTCAGCAGTATTCGATTATCACCAAGTTTTGCAGGAAGGACCTTCTATAAATACTATTATCAATCTACGCTATATTCGCAAGACTTCAAACTTCCCATTTTTGTATGAGTAACTTCAAAGCATAATTCAAGTTATAAGGATCAACGCTGCACCCAAATAATGTAAAACTTTTAAATCCTAGCGAACAAGCAATAATAAAGAGGCTAATCCAGAGAGGAACAAAAGCAGTTGAAGACTTTCACATCTGTTGAAAATTGAATGATGAATATGATTCAAAATCTAACCGTTCAATCAATTTTTCGGCAGCTTCAGTCTCCCTAGCTTGGTACATCGCCTTCAATACTAAATTGAATGATGCACTGTTAGGTGAGATCGCATAGTCCTCCATTTGAGCCACTAGATCCAGAAGCTCCCCAGCCGTGGCATTAACCATCAAGTTCGCCCTCAAATAATTGTTATACAAATTAACATCCGGCTTATTAGGCTTGCCATTCTTATCCAGCGACCGAATCCAAGACTCAAACAACTGCTTCATATCATCCCAGCGCTGGGAAGCCATCCAATCAGCAAACACATTCAACAAGCTCTGGACATCGAGTGTTTGAGACAATGCTTGAATTCGAGAACTGGGGGATTGGTTAAGGAATCCGAGGGGGATCAGAGACTGAGTCATAGAAGCGTTAGGGATCGGATTGCGCCAGTTCTCGTTGTAAAGAGGGCTACCAGAGGCGGGATTCGGAGGAAGTGGAGTTGAAGGAACGTCCGCTGGTTCATTGGCGAGATGAGGTTCTTGAGAGAGAAATGTGAAGGTGGTGATGGGCTTGAAGGAGCAGACATTGTTGAGGTTCGAGTTTCTGATTAGAGTGTGAGTTCGAGAGAGAATCGCCATTTTGGACGCCATGAATGGAGCATCAAAGCTGGAGAAATGGCCTTCACAGTGAGGAGGAAGAAGAAATGGCGTCAGTAGCAGTTAGGGTTTTGGCACTTCGAGCAATAGAGACGAGAAGAATCCACAGGGGGCCAGGTTTAGAAGGGCAATATGGTAATTTTAAGTCTAAATATCCAAATAGCCCACTGCCCGTGCCCGTGCCCGTGCCCGTTCCCCGAGGCATGCTCGTTGTCCTGGTAAACGAAGAACTAAGGTTAGTTTTGCAAATATATCTTTTATAAATATCTTCTTCTAAAAATTGTAAAAATAACATTTATTGCATATTCTTTTTTTAAAAAAATCAAGATTTAGGGTGAAAATCATTTTAACCTTGAATTTCAAAATTTATATTAATTTTTTACCATCAACTTTTACTTTCGTTAATAATTTTTATATTTTAATAATTTTTTTAAATACTATTAATTGATTTTATTTATACATCGTGAGTGTCTAGGTTAGCTTGCAAACATCTGGACTATTATCAGAAAACAACTTTTTGATCCTATTACACTCAGTTGTTAAGGTAACTTGTAGGGTATCAAGTCCTAAAGTAAGTACCCACCGTGACTTCAACTCATTCCTTTTATGCTCTCTATTATTTACACGATTATCCCTTGACTATTAGGTTTATTGTAACAACTCATACCCAGAATTTAGAATTCAGAAATTGGCACTCCGTGGTCCCGAACATGCCTTATCCTTTCTTTTAACAGGTCACCCAACATAAAATTGCTCCAAGTAAAACACGTTTAACCATGATTGAGCAATCGAAAAGAAAGGTGCACCTTGTTGGTATAAGTAGTAACTTTTATTTCCTTTAACCCTTTTTTAGTCATTCTATCGCCAAGATCGCTCTCGTTCAAATATCGTCTTAGTTCATTCATACCTTTCATTTACTCGGATGTTATACTTATACAGTATGAAAGATCCAAACTAAGAGGCCACACAACTTATTTCTTATACATTCATAAAAATTAGTTTAAACACTAGCTTTTATGTACAACAAAGTAAAATAAATGACAAGTCGTGGAACGTTCGAGATAAAGTTTCATACTTTTCTTCCTTTTTCTCGTAAAGCTTCATTTCTAGAATCTAATCTCTTCGAGTAGTTTACGAAACTTTCGTAGCTACTGCTTTACTAGCTTTAATACTTGTCGATTTTCATTATGTTAGTTTGGTAGCTAGTTTTTTAAGACGAGCTCTGTGTGGGTTTATAATCCCTAGGGAATATAGAATTCCACGTTCCATTCATCGCTACAACCACCTTTATAAGACTGATACCCAAAATAAAGTGAAGTGATATCAAAGCAACCACAAATTTCAAACCTTCCTCTCATTCTTTGCCCATTTTGATCATTTTGGCTTCATTTTACCTTAAGCTTGGTATCATTCACTAATGGATGATCCAAAAAGATATCTGTTCTTAATCATCTCTGATAGCACAACCCAGCTTTACAACACTCATGTTCTTGATTTCAATCATTTTAACAACAAAATGGACCAATTTCATAGCTTTTAGCGATCAAAATTGAAGTTTTTCAATCTCTAAACCACAAATTTTGATACCCATTAACCAAAATTCTAAATTTTCAACTCCAAATTATGCTGATTATCATACCCTTAATCCAAATTAGCACTTGTTTAGCTAATAATGTTTTACTTTTGGATGCCAAGAATCTAAATATCTCATAGAACAAAAGGGAAATGGAAGGAGAAAGAACGAAAAAGACGGGGAAAAAAAAGGTGAATAGAGACACACAGGCACCGCCTCCACATTCTTTCCCCACTAGAAATCTCTATTTCCCTTCCCTCTCTCTCTCTCTCTCTCTCTCTGCTTCGCCACAGCTCTCTGTTCTGTTCTCTCTCGGAGTTCGTGTTCATCCATGGCGGTTCTCTTGTTCTTTTCCTTGATGTTCATGGCCTTCACCTCTCATTCAGGTAACCCTTCTGCTCTTTCAAGCTTTTCTGCAACTTCAATGGATTTTTACACAAGAATCGCTTAAACCCTTTGAAGATTTTCATCTGAAATCGAAAAATTCCACTAACCCTTGTTTTAAATCTTCTTTAGATGCTATATATTGTGTTTGTAAAGATGGATTAAGCGACCAAGCCCTTCAAAAGTCACTGGATTATGCTTGTGGAGCTGGAGCCGATTGTTCTCCAATTCTTCAAAATGGGGTTTGTTTTCAGCCTAATACTGTCAAGGATCATTGTAGCTATGCTGTTAATAGCTATTTTCAGCGCAAGGGTCAAGTCCAAGGGAGCTGTGATTTTTCAGGCACTGCCATGGCTAGCCAGTCTCCTCCTGGTATCACTGATTCATGTCATTTTTCACTCATGTTCTTCATCAACTGCCTTGTTTTTGTTGCTTAATCTTTGTTGGGTTTGTTTTTCTTGTGTTTTTTCAACAGCTGGAGCTTCTGGGTGCGTTTATCCTTCAAGTCCCAGGTACCATCTTCATGTTCTTCTTAGTTTTTCAAGAATTGTTCATATCTCTAATGGAAAGTGGCTGATACTCGTGCATTTTTCATTTGTTTCTTTACTCAAAGTTACCTTTTCCTCAACTTTTTGAACGGATTTTAGTGAGAATCTGCTGCCTGATAGCATAAAAGAAGGCGTTGTTTTAAGAATCCAATTCCCTTCTGGCTTTGTTCATAGCTGTTCATCTTTTTCACCTTAGAAACTTACCTAATCCTGTTTAGATGAAAGTGATCCTTCACTTTTACTGTCTCTTTCTATGCTATCTATGTGCTGTTCTTCTCTGTTTTTACATCCAATGACAAAATTTACCATTTCAAAGCTTCCATGAGTGACAATGACATGAACAAATCAACAATTCAACACCCCTTTCCCTCTTCTCTGTTTCAGCAACGCAGGAACCCCGTCGACCACCGTCCCCGGCACGACGCCAGGAACAATCACAAACCCATCAACAACACCACCCTCAACCATGACCCCAGGTATCACACCACCCTCAACCATGACCCCAGGTATCACCCCGCCCTCGGTGTTCGGGGGTGGGATAAGCCCGACAGGCGGGGTCGGGCTCGGTGGTAGCGGGAGTAGCATGGATGGAAGCGCTGCCATTGCAGCAGCAGCCTGTAACATGTTGTTGTTGTTCATAGCCATTGTGACATCTTTGTTGTAATGTTGTTTGATGTGGGTGGAGAATATGGTTCCTTATTTGAGTGGTGGTATGATTTTGTGGAATGGGAACCTGATCCTCTTGGATGTTTTTTCACCTTTTGTGTATCTATTAGAGGCTGTATTTTGCTTAATTTAATGGGGGTTTTTGCAACCACTAATCAATAATTATGCTCTTTTTTCATTGTTAATTTGTTTTATAATAAAGTTTCTGGGATGTGTTACTATTGTTAAACATTTGAATTTAATTTTATTATATAGTTTTTATATCATATATATATGAAGGGAATGGAAGGTAACATGGAAAGGGACAAAAAATGGAATGAAAACACATGCTACCCAACTTTAATAATGATATATATAGGTGTGAATAGACTGATTAACTACCTGCCAACTATTTCCTTGAATATGATGAGTAAGTATCTTTTTTATTATTAATTTCTTTTTAATATTTTATTTTGGCTTATGAATGTTATGACTAGTGTCGGGAACCTTTGAGCTATGTTCGTGTTGATTAGTGGAGCTTTAAAGTCGCTCTTTGCTAGCAAATATTATCTGCATTTGTCCGTTACATATGAGTGTCAGTCTCATGGTGTTAAAACGCGTCTGCTAGTGAGAAGTTTTCACACTTTTGTAAGAAATGTTTCGTTTTCTTCTTTAACCTATGTGAGATCTCTACATTATTCGGTGTCTAGTTCTAAATAGCCCACTATTAGCGGATATTGTCCACTTTGGCCCATTACATATAGCTGTCACCTTCACGATTTTAAAACGCGTTTGCTAGCTAGGGAGAGGTCAATCTACCTCTCTTGGGTGTCTAATGTCTTCTCTGGCCCACTGTTGGTGGATAGCTCTGATTTCATTTGTAATAGCCCAAACTCAGCGCTAGTAAATATTGTCCGTTTTGACCCGTTATGTATTGCTATCAGTTTCACAATTCTAAAACGCTAGGGAAAGATTTTCACACATTTGTAATAAAATGTTTTGTTATACTCCAACCGATGTGGGATCTCAAATAAGGACGAAAATTTGAATTGACTGAACCATCGACGACGGATTAGTTCAGGCACGGAATGCACCATTTGACTGCTCGCCTCAATTTTAGTACTTACTTTCAACTTATTTCTATTCACCACACCGGTTAATTTCTTCATCAAAATTAAAATGTATTTAAATTTATTATATTAATGTTTAAAACATTAATAAATTATTACTAATAAAATAAATAAATAAATCGTATTAATGAGTAAATTTGAACGTATTTCAATAATTAAAATATTTATCTAATAGAAGATCTTAGCAATATTAAAATGAAAATTATATTAGTGATATATTTTTTTTAAAATTTAAGGATATTGGTTAAAATATTTTGAGAAATACATAATTTATTTTTTGTTAAAATAAAAAGTAGAAATGAATGGGAAGACTGATAATAAAAAATAAAAAATATAATTATCTACAAAATTTATGAAATTAATTTTAGTGAATTAACTGTCACGTCAGTCAATTTAAATGTACAATAACTTTATGTTTATTTTTTAATTTCTATACATTAATCATGGTGTTAATTTTTGTTCATAATTTTGAATTTAAAAATCTTCAGGGATATTTTTGGGAATATTGAAATTTGAGGTTAAAATAAAATAAAAAAATATAAGAGAGTAGAAAATGTTTAAAATACAATAATTTTTAATTCTCGAAAAGAAAAAAAGGAAAATATACCGAGACGGAAATGGAAGGATGAACATCAAACAGACTGTGAGCCTTAAAAAAAAGACTACAAATTCGCTGTTGACTGCAAATTGAGCCAAAAAAAATTTCATTATTTAATTTGATTTCATCCCAATATGAAAGCTTGGTAGGTTAGAAATTCATTTCACAGATTTTGATTTGATTCATTTTTTTCGAGAGTGAGAGCGCGCCATGGATCGTAATCAGCCACTGCGACCACCATCTCCGCAGCCTCGTTCTCCAGAATCCGGCGGCAGTTTCTCATCCGTACTCACTGTTTTCGCCTCCTTCATCGCCATCTTTTCCATGGTATCATATCGCTTCCTCATCGAGCTGCAAAATGCGCTAGGTTTCGTGGTTTTGTTTTTTGAATTCCATTTTGTTACGGCTTAGTCTTCGATGAGCGAGTATTAATATACCTTTTGTTTATCTGAGGTCAAAGGCTTTTGTCCAAGCTGAATGCGTTTTTTTTTGTTGTTGTTTTCTGTGCTGTCATCGTTGCGAGATGGAGTTAGAAAGCTAATAAGTTTGAGTTATACTTCGCTTATATTGCACTTCGTTGGTCGGCTTCATGTACTTCAGAATCTGTTTATTGGATTTGTGATACTTTCATAACTACTACTGTTTGATTGTGTAATTGGCTGTTTAATTGTTTTTAACTCATATTCAGTGTCATATGTGGAAGTTACGAAGAGGTTATCCATCTATTAAGATAGATGTGGAGTCTATTGCACAAGTTTCTGTAATTATTGCCATCAATCGTATATAATTAATTTTGTTTTAAAGAAAAGGAAGAACATGTGCTTTATCTTCTGTCACGAGTGGTCTTGTGATTCTGATATTCTAGCAGTATGATTGAAACAGTCGTGGCTATCAAAAGTAGGGGCCTGAAATAGTTGAGAAAAAAGGTTCAGCAAATTTAAGCAGACAGTGAACAAACAAAACATTTGAGATCCCACATCAGTTGGAGAGGAGAACGAAACATTCTTTATAAGGGTGTGGAAACCTCTCCCTAGTAGAGTCATTTTAAAATCTTGAGGCTAACGGCGTACGTAACAGGCTAAAGCGGATAATATCTGATAGCAGTGGACTTTGGCTATTACAAATGGCATTAGAGCCAGACAACGAGCGGTGTGCCAATGAGGACGTTGGACCCTCAATGGAGGTGGACTATGAGATCCCACATCGGTTAGAGAGGAGAATGAAACATTCTTTATAAGAGTGTGAAAACCTCTCCCTAGTAGACGTTTTTTAAAATTGTGAGGCTGACGGCAATTTGTAACGGTCCAAAACAAACAATATCTGCTAGCAGTGGACTTGGGCTGGTACAAAACATGACAAATTTCACGTTTCAGACATGACATGTCTACTATGCTTAGTAAATAAATGAGAATTTGGATCACTATTAGTGTTATTTTGGCAATCAGCCAAGTGAAAAATTGAACCTCTTTACTTATTGGGTGTTTTAGCTATGCAAGTCTTGTTACAGGCACACCTTGGTCATGAAATGGTATCAATTTTGAGATCATTGTACTTGATCTGGTTGATTTTAGTTGTTGTATAACTGCATTTTTATGCATGCAGGTGCTGATTCCATCCCAATCAAACTTCAAAAGTAACTTATCTATTTTACACCAAGTACCAGAAGGTCATGTTGGAGTATATTGGAGAGGAGGTGCCCTTCTGAAGACAATAACGGATCCAGGTTTAAGTCTCTCTGTTCCGCTTGATTTTTCATGGTTATACAGATCATATGTCCTACTGCCTTTATTCATGTCAAAATTTCAGGTTTCCATCTAAAGTTGCCTCTGTTAACCCAGTTTGTGCCTGTTCAAGTGACCCTCCAGACTGATCAAGTAAATTAGATTTATTTACAATTACTATGATGATATAAGCATTACAATATTTTTCATTGGGGACAAAAAGTTCTTAATGCCAATTTCAGGATTTCAATATTTTGAAGAGGTCCTAATTGATGTCCTTGATGCAGGTTAGGGATATTCCATGTGGTACTAAGGGGGGTGTAATGATCAACTTCGAGAAAATCGAGGTGAAATTACTAGGAAATTCCTTCCCAATAATTGATGTTAGATTTTCTTATTCTTCATCTTAGTTCATAAGGATGCTGCTTTCAGGTTGTCAATCGCCTCCGCAAAGAATATGTGCATGAAACCCTGGTCCACTATGGTGTGAATTATGATAACATATGGATATATGACAAGATTCATCATGAAATCAATCAGTTTTGTAGCTCTCACAGTCTTCAGCAAGTTTATATTGATGTTTTCGATCAGGTACGTAAAAATAAATGTAAAATGTGTGCTTTTAAAACCTTGCGTAGTTTTGTGATTGTTTCCATTCACACAAGCATTCTGCAGAGCTGATACGAGCAACATGCTAAGTGTATATTCTAGCTATTAACTGTCATTTGTGTCAAGTATATTTTTCTATTCTTCAGCTGTGAATTCTTTCAAGGAATCCATTCAAGGCTTTAAAAGCAGATGTTTCCATAAATTCGTCGTAGATACTTTTCTCCCTTGGCATCGAGCATTTCTTTCGCATCAATGATCCGTGACTGTTTTTCGTATTCAGATTGATGAAAAGATGAAGGATGCTCTCCAAGGTGACTGTACACGTTATGCTCCAGGTATTGAAATAATCAGTGTTCGTGTAACAAAGCCCACCATCCCACATTCTATCAGAAAGAACTTTGAAGACATGGAAGTGGAGCGTACAAAGGTGCATCTCTAACATTGGAAAACAACCTTTTTCTTGTTCTGTTTTGAGTTTTGAAAGCATATGTTGAACGTATGAAAGAGCATCATTGCATACTCATAATCTTACATATCTTGGTTCAAAACCATGTTTACACTTTCAATTCCAAAAACGTCTATATGGATCGACATCGATACAGATTACTGCACGTCTTAATTCTAATGCTATGCAATCTTGGACATACTTGGATAGGTTTTAATTGCTATAGAGAGACAAAGGGTAGTGGAGAAAGAGGCAGAAACCAACAAAAAAATGGCAATCAGTGAAGCTGAGAAGAATGCTAACGTTAGCAGGATCCTCATGGAACAGAAACTAATGGAGAAGGAGAGTTCCAGGAGGCAGCAAGAAATTGATAACCACATCTATCTTGCTCGTGAAAAAAGCCTCGCCGATGCCAATTATTACCGGTACTTCTCTCCTTTCGCTTTTCCAACCTCACCTCGATTTTTCGAAGTGAGAAATGAACGCAGTTTTAGAAAACCCGAATGTGTAGTGACATTCATGTCTTTTCATCGTTTAATCAGTGTTTTAAAAGAAGCTGAAGCGAACAAGTTGAAGCTTACACCTCAGTTTCTTGAGCTTAAATTCATCGAGGCCATTGCTGATAATACAAAGATTTTCTTTGGGGACAAGGCACGCGCTCTGTCTCTTTTTGCTCTCGATATATACGCGTTACGTGTCTATAACTAACTCAGTAGCTTTGGTTCTGCTAGGTTCCCAACATGGTTT